CCGCGAGTTCCGAGGAGCGTAGCGACGAGGAAAAACAGGTACAGTTGTTCAGGGCGTCGTTTTAAGTAGCGTCAGCGGAGTACCTGAATGATTGTACCTGTTTTTCCGGTCGTCGCAGCCCAGCCAAGCCTCATAGAGGCGCCATAGCAGGCTTTACGAAACGTGCAAGAGCTCCAACGCACGTCACATGTCAACATGCATATTCGCGCTCGCACTTGGAGCTCGGTCGCTGAACGTGCAGCGCAGCGTGTGCTTCGCGCACCGGTCTTGACGACCATGCGCAACCCACGACGTTGCGCCGGCGACCGGGGGCGTTACTCAAGCGCCTGGGCCCGGAGCGGTACCTATGGGGTGTGCTGTGTTGGCGCTGTGTCTGATTTTTCTGAGGCCGCCATTTGGCGGGCGAGCCCCGGCTTGCTCTGCTGTCCTCACCTCAAGACGACTATTGTCGCGATTTTGTCTTTTTAGGCGCTCGCTTGATGTTGTTGACAGAGAGCCAAGGAAAGCGGAGCGCGTTTGGCCCGTTGAGGAATTCGATGTGGGTTCGAAGAAGTGCAGGAATGCGAACATCATCCCGTTCGTGCATTCTGACAATCGAAACCTATCGCTTGTAAACATGTGGTACCCTGCAAAAGAGGCAGTTTCGCTGGAACACTGGGATCGCATACGAGTTCGTCGATACAGGCAACATATTTGACTTCTGGGATGTAGAGATCGAAACCTAGGGCGCCAAGGAAGACGCACTCCATGGCATTTATGCGATCGATGGGGCAGGGGCGTTCCGCCGGCTGGACACGACCCCAGGCTACGGAAAAGTCTACATTTCGGAGAGGTGTGTCATCCCAGTATTTCTGCGCGATCATCATCGCACAAAGAAGAAGTCGCTTGCAGTTTCGGCTCGTCACACGGAGGTGAGGATGATACGAGAGAATCCTAATCACGAGCATGAGCGCGATGACTGTGCACTCAGGAGTGAACATGCAGAGTGCGAACATCTGGAAGACGAAATCATGCAGCTGGGGTAGCCCAAGATGGGGGGTATTAGTTAGAACCTGAGTGTGTTAGGTGCATGCATGGCTGAACTCAAGTGACTCGAGAGCTGCTCTTCCTAGACACAGGAGAAAACGCCGACCTCGCTCCAAAACGCACGGAGTTGTGGCGGTTCCTCTGCGTCCGCAGGTGCCATCATGAACTCGACAAGCAGACAGATACCCATCGTGATGACTGCGTCTGCTGGCGCCTCAGCCTTGGGTGCGACGAAAATCCTAGTTGGGGCGATGAACGGTGCGCCTGCATGCTGCGGCACCACGAGCCTAAGTGCTCACATACTCGAGTTTGATGAAATACTCTGTCGGTAGGAGCGCAGCAAAATACGATTGCCCGTCGCGGAGGGATTTGGAATTTCTCGGTTCGTGGTTTACATCCTCCTCGTGGTCACGCTGGGGCCCGTCATCACACATCTCTGTGTCACCAAGATGTGTCACCTAATTGTCACCTAATCTGGCTGAATGTGAGTCCGGAAACACACCTTTGTCTTACTCCCGAAAACATTTGTTAGCTTGGGTGCCCAGAGCTTGGGCACGGACTTGGGCATACGTGCCCGTGGCCAACTGCCTCGTGGCTGTCGCGCATATTCCCTACAAATAAATCGCAATAAATGGTTCAGAGCATGCATGTCTGCGTAGTAGGGCATCGGTTCGCACTCGTCTCGCGTCCTTCCTGCTTCTCGCAATTCTGGACAGGGAGACATCACCATCTCCATGTCCTCGCGCTCCAACTGGCGCTCCCATTCCAAAATTGTATCTTCGTTGTTTGGGGATTGTTCCGCAGAGAGTTTCTTTTCCCATTGATTCAGCTCCGAATCCATGCTTTCAGTCATTGTTGGTCACCCTCGGGCTGTCGAGGCGGGGTGATCTCTAGAGCTGAAGGGTTGATTTGGTTTTCGACCCTACAGCTCTCTCAGTGTCTGGTGTTACACACCAGACCCAGCGTAAAGAGAGGAGGGTAGTTACTTAAACTACCTCAGCCATTCCCAGTTACCACTGTGTGATATAAACATCACCCACGGCAACTCCGCTGTTAATATACGACGGCAACTCCGTTGCCTAGTTAGCTAACTAGCAAAACCTTATTTCTCTAGCGAACTGAGTTCCTGTGGGTCTCTCAGGCTCATGTCCAGGCGCCGGGCCCCTGTGAGGGCGTGGTGAGGGCGCTCCGTGAGGGGTCCAAACCAGGTCCAAACTGGAGCGCGTCGAATTTCCCACGGGCTGGGGGAGGAGGGGGGTAGGCTCCAGGAATGACCGCGAACGAAGCCCCCCACTTAGAGGTCTCTGTACCACGGTCCCACTCGACAAGAGTACGGGCGACTGCACATGCTGGGCTTTTATGCGGGGAGACACCCGATGTCAGTCCCAGATTTTTGCGTCGTGGCGGCTTCATTGGGGCGAGTGCGCTCTGCTAAGACTTCTCGGACGCGACGCGCGTCGCTATGAACAACAGTGAATCTGAAGCCGCTGTCGATGATGACATCGCCATTCTTGGGGATTTCGCCATGAACGGCGCAGAGAAACCCAGAAAGCGTCACACAGTCAAAGTTTTCATCGTCAAGAGGGCTTTTTTTCGTCCAGTCTCCGTGCGACTCGTGTTTACGCTTGCCAGTATCATTGTCTTGGTGCATATCGTAATCTGTGTCGTCCTCATCAGAGGCACGAGCAGTGCGAACGTGCGGGGCGAACAGGGCCGCACGGACGTCATCGAGCTCAGCCTCGCCCTTAATAGCGTATGCACTCGCCAATGCGTTCGTGGTCGAGGGATCCCCGTCTGCACTGGGCTGTAGGATAACCTGTATGAGGGAGCGGTCATCGACGTCTGCGCCCTCCTCCGCATCCTCTTCATCATAAATCTCTCCGACAATCTCCTCGAGGATGTCTTCCAGGGAGACAATGCCTGCTGTCCCTCCATACTCATCCACCACGACCGCAAGGTGACAGCGTCGGCGCCGCATGGCTTCTAGTACGGCCCACACGCTCATAGACTCCGGCACGAAATAGGCAGGTTCAAGACCGGGTTCATCCCGGACACGCGTCGCACGAAGCGCGGCCTCAGTCGTCGCCATTGGCGGCGCGTGTAGTGTCATATTCGTTGTATTGGTCCTATGTTTCCTGAGGGGGAGGGGGTTTGAACCATCAATCGCATTAAACTCTGCGTATCGGATTAGCGACTTGGCAAGGAGTATGCCCGTGATATTATCGACGTCGTCGTTGAATGTGGGAAGGCGTGAATATTTTGTCGATGTCATGACTTCGAGGGCGTCTCCTAGCGAGGCCTCATCGTCGAGCGCGACTACTTCCACACGGGGTGTCATCACTTCGGCAACCCTGGTGACTTGGAGGTCAAGGACGCCCTTGACCATGTTGCTTTCGCGAGCCCCAATACCACCGCTCAGGCGCGCACCTTCGACAAGGAGGCGCAGCTCACCTGCCGACACATCGCCGGCGTGACCCTCATATTCCAGGCCAAGAGGTCGTAAGATTTCTTTGACCCCAAAGGAGAAGGCGCGTCCAACGGGCGCGAGAAAGACCGCAAGTGTGCGGATGTATGGTAAAGCGAACCGCGCGATTGGCTCTGCGTTCTGCACACCCAGTGTCTTAGGCAGGAGCTCGCCGAAGAATATTGTCACTGCCGCGAAACCGAGCCCAGCAACCGTCAACCGTTGTGGGCTGTGGCCAAAGCAGGCTCCTAGCGCGCTAGTCGCTAGTGTCGTGCCACAGACAGTGCAAACTGTCGACGCGACCAGCATCGTCGTCATCACTCGGGTGATGTCGTTCACTACGACCGCGAACCTGCGTTGGGTCCCATCATTCCAGTTGGCGACCGATCTTTATCAAATCAAGGCCACTTGGATTACTCTAGCGGCAAATAATCTAGGTATGAGCGGAATCTCTCCGACCAGTCGCTGGTAGTTCTGAATCCCATATATCTCGATACAGTGTAAGTTTCCCGCACTGCATAAACGGCGAGTCTTTGCCCTCCTCCTCCGCAAATTCGCGCACCTTCCAAGGCCATAGCGTTGTGATGGCTATCTCTGCCGCATGCACTGCCGAGGCCAGTACAAAGAGCACACCCCATCCCATCACCCGAGGCGCTACACGCACATTCGAGATACCACTGCTCCCTGAATTGGGGAGGCCCATCGCAGCTACACACGGCGCTGCAGCCGCAAACGCACACAGGGTGAATCCTCCACGAAAGAGGGGCGCCCTGCGGTACTTTTTGAATAGTGCCGCGTCCTTCCGCGTCCCTGCGTATCGGTCTTTCTTGGTCAAGTAGACCCTGGCGTCCATAATCATTGTATCTTGGAGTGATATTAGAGCATCGGCGCGGCGCCTTCTGCCAGGCGCAGAAAAAGCGGAAACAACGCTAATGACGAGCACTGCCGTGGGACGCATCGAGACGCAATTCTGGCCCCTTCAGCCGGCAGAGGTCTAGTCGAGAGAACGTACAGAGGCTGCAATTTCTTTTTTCTCTTGCTACTTTCCTGGTTGCCGGGGTTGTTTAGGACTCCAAGTACCCATTTTAGTGAAGGGTAGCCTAGCTAATTCCCTCTACAGCCGCGGCACCGGCGCGCGGGCGCGGCGCGCTCGGTCCAGGGGTTCGAGTTGGGTTTGAGTGTTGATTTGCTGAAGCATTTTTAATGAAAAATCTATTGGAGCAAGAAATTTGGCGAATATGCTAGCGGGCTGGTACCTGGGGACTACTCTAGGACAGTATAGAGTAACCCTCTCCTGATGGGAATCAGGGCTGCTGCTCAGCAGCCCCATCTCACTTTTCCATTTTCAGTCTAAGTCAGGAACACTGCCATCTCCCCTCAAGTCCATGGGTCAAGTGGTCCCGGGGCCGCGGCGTCGTGCGGTGGCCTGTCAGACAAACTCTCTAGTCTAACTAATTGTTACCGTACCCTATCAGGCGAGCGCGGGGAGGGCCACCCCGTCGGCTCTTGCGGCAAGATGAGCGCGAACAGGAAACTTCAAACGGAGATCGATCGGACTCTGAAGAAAGTCGAGGAAGGTGTCGAGATCTTCGATGAGATATGGGACAAGGTCTATTCGGCGACTCAGCAGAACCAGAAGGAGAAGTATGAGGTGGACTTGAAAAAGGAAATCAAGAAACTCCAGAGACACCGGGATCAAATCAAGACATGGGTTGCGTCGTCGGACATCAAAGACAAGCGTCCGCTGACTGACGCGCGTCGCGGTGTCTGTACACGGGATGGCTTCCTAGATGAAGAGCTCAATGCTAGGCGCGAAAGCTCATCGAGACGAAGATGGAACAGTTTAAGGTTTGCGAGAAGGAGACAAAGACCAAAACTTATTCTAAAGAGGGCCTCGCTCGCGAGACTAAGATTGTGAGTCCCACCGCCGTCTGGTATAGGAATTCGTCGGGGGAACTATTTTAGCTTCATAGAACTCAATTGTCTTAGGACCCCCATGAGGCGGCCAAAAATAGCACGCGGGATTGGCTTTCAGAAAAGGTAGATCAGCTCTCACTGCAGATCGACATGCACGAGGCCGATATGGAAAAGCTCACATCGGGTAAAGGGTCCAAACGGAACAAGCAAGAGATTGAACAGCTCGAGGCGTCCATTAAGCGCCACCGGTGGCACATAGCTCGGCTAGAGCAGATCACACGGCTTCTGGATAACGATGCTCTCCAGCACGAGCAAATAAATGAGATCAAAGAGGATGTGGAATATTATATTGACGCGAATCAAGAGCCAGACTTCATGGACGCCTATGACGAGACAATGGATATTTTTGAGTCACTTGATCTGGGCGACCTCCCCACAGATGAAGATGCGGCCGCGGCCAATACAGACGAAAAGAAGAAGAAGAAGAAGAAGGGAGATGACGACGACGACGACGAAAAGGATGACAAAAAAAAAAAAAAAAAAGACAAGCAGGCTGAAAAGGAGGCGAAAGAGGAAGCCAAAAAAGAAAAGAAGGCTAACAAGGCCAAGGCAGCCACGGCAATGCCACTAACGATTGGTCGTGCGACAGTAGCGAAAGCGGCGCCCGCGCCCGTCCCCGCTGCGGCTGCGCCTATCAAAGGTGCCAAGGGCGCGTCTACCACTAGCAAGGGCATGCCAACGCCCGGTGTTCCGACGCCTCAGCAAGTTGCTCCGCCGGCGTCTGGTGCCGAGTCGCTCGCAAACATCCTCAAGCAGCAGAGTGCGCAGCAACAGCAAACTGGTGTCGCAATGGCCGACAGGCTTCGGGCCCAGCAGCAACAGCCAACGGCCCCAGTGCCTGGAGCTGCTTTTTCTGCAGCGGCGCAGCGATCACAGCATCAACAACAGACCTCCAGCCTCGTAATGAGCCAACAGGCACCAGGACGTGGGGCGCAGGGCGGTGCGCAGGGAGCTGGCGGTTCAATTGGCTTTGGTACCACGCGCTCAGGGCAAGGCAACAGTTCAGGCTACGGCTATGGTGCGAATGACTCTCGGGCAGGAACGCGACAGCAAGGTCTCGCTCCGCAGCATGCTAAGCAATCACAACAAGGAAATGACGGTGGACTTAGCTTGCTTGGTCGGACGCGCGCACCGGGCACACTGCCACCGTCAAACCTCCCAACGATTGGTCCCGCCTCGGGTCAGCAAGGCATCGCAGCGACCATGTTTCAAAATGCGCCTGGTTCGGGTGCGTTCGGGACCGTGCCAGCACACAGTGGTGCACCTCAGGCTCCTGTAATCAGTAGTGGACATGGCAACGTCACGCATAATAGTCCTACGCAGAGCCGAGGCGCACATATTCCTCTCGACCAGTGCTTCGCGCCTGGTGCCAGCCTTGAGCCCCTTCTTGATATCTCTGAACATATGGCTGCCGATGACACTTATGTGCGCCTCCTCGATGCGCAGGGACCCAGCGGTCATGATGACAGCGCCTCAAGTGCGAGTGCTCATAAGCTTGCGGCCCTTGCACTCAGCATGCGCCGCGCTCCACGCAAGGCCGATTCGGAGCGTCCAAGGCAATATGTGCCCCGAAATCCCTATGCCACACCGCCAGCCTTTCCTTCGACGCCCGCGTCGACCTTCGACGACGCGAAGGTCTTCGAAAAGCTTGGCACTGACACACTTTTCTTTATTTTCTACTATCAACAAGGAACCTACCAGCAGTATCTTGCTGCAAAGGAACTGAAAAAGCAGAGCTGGCGCTACCACAAGAAGTATATGACCTGGTTCCAGCGCCATGAGGAGCCTAAGGTGACGACAGACGAGTTTGAGCAAGGAACTTACGTGTACTTTGATTACGAGACCGGCTGGTGCCAGCGCATCAAATCCGACTTCACCTTTGAGTATAATTTTCTTGAGGATGAACTCGTCACCTAATACCCCTCTTGCGAGCCACCCTGGCTGCCCAACCCAGCCCATGCTTCTCAGCGAACATGACACTGCTCCCCAAAGGCTGGGTCTAATCGAATGACGATTCCCATGAAGCCTAGGCCACTGCCGGTTCCCACGAGGCCCAGGGGTCGTAGAGAGATTCGAACGCCGAAGCCCCAAGACGACTGCCTGGCTGGGTTGCCATGGCATGTCATAGAACATACTCGTGCTGCCCCTGAGGCCAGCGACGTGCCAGAGAGCACCAGGCTCAGCGAGGTTGCACAGTCGCCGGACAGTGCACCTGCTGGATAGTAGTCTGACTGGCGTCATAGCGACGTAGGACTTGAAGCTGCTAAACTATCCTATGTGCCATGAATTACTAGTAGGGGGGGTCAATAGCAATGGCATGCCAGCAGACCTCGCGAAGCAAAGCGTGCCGGCACGAGCAGAAATCGCGCTCCTGCCGGTGTGCCGACACACCTGGTCGAGCCCCGAGCAGAATCAGTAGAGTAGAGTAGTAAATTTCCCCCGGTGGCAACTTAACCAAGCGCGGCAAGTCGCAAACTCAGACCCGCAGGAAATTTGGTGAGAACCTGGCTAGTACAGCTCAATGATTTCGTACTCGTCCTGATCCACGAGCTTCTTGCCTGCGAACGTTTGCAGGCTCTGACCCGTTCTCTCGAAGCTACAGATGACAATGGACGCCGCAGCTCTCACGGGTTTGGTTTCGATTTATTCGTCTGTTTTCGACATCGGGAGCAGA